CATTGTACAGTGGCATTAAGTGCGGTAATGTGTACCTCTGCCTACCCCTCCAGGGATAAAAGGCGTAATGTTATGTTATGCTGTTTGTTACCTTAATGTCCAGCACACACATATGAATTAAGATACATTCAAATAGGTTTAAACGTAAATTAAAGTCATATTACCTAGAAATGTCTTAAATCTATACTAATATTATAAAGCTAAAGAGTTTGTTTGTTTGTTTGAACGCGCTAATCTCCGAAACTACTGATTCGAATCGAATAATTCTTTTTGTGTTGGATAGTCCATTTATCGAGGAAGGCTATAAAACATCTCGCTACGACCAATAGGAGCCGAGCAGAGCGGGTGAAATCGCGCGCAAGTAGCTAGTTCTATATAAGTTTCCTGTATAATATTTATAAGTACATTTAATTGTAATGCCCAGTAACTCGACCCCACAGTCAAACCATTGCAACGGTTTGGCTTAAATTATAACATACTTACCTGTGTGATTTAAAGATAAATAAATAAATAATAAATGAAATAGTACAAATGTTGCAGTGTGGTTCGTGTGTGTCAAAGGGTTTGAATGTTGTTTGTTCATTAGTGTGTACATCTTCAAAGCCACAGACGTAGTTTCCACAACATGAAAATCCGCTTGTGTACCTACCTATGCAACTTATTCACCATTTAACGCAGCATAATAAATCTTATATCATATCTTATACTATTATATAAAGCGGAAGAGTTTGTTTGTTTGTTTGAACGCGCTAATCTCAGTAACTACAAGTCTGATTTGAATAATTATTTATTTGTTGGAGAGCGCATTTATCGAGGATGGCTATAGGCTATAAAACATCACGCTACGACCAATAGGAGCTGAGCAGAGTGTGTGAAACCGCGCGGAAGTAGCTAGTACCATCTATAATCGCATGCAAGGACCGGAAAAATTAAATGCAATACATAACATAACATAAAAGCCTCAACATATTAGGGAACTGAAGACATTGGCCGAGTGATCGTAAGTGCGACTGCCGGGCAAGGGGTCTCGGGTTCGATTCCCGGGTCGAGCAAAGTATTACTGGGTTATTTAAAAAGATCTCAGTAGTAGCACGGAGTCTGGATTTGTGTCCGGCATATGGCAATTGGCCCACCCCCTATTATATGGGACTCGTAACATAAATAGTGAAAAGTAGGTGTCATTGTACTGTGGATTTAAGTGCCGTAATGTACACTTCTGCCTATCCCTTCGGAGATAAAAGGCGTGATGTTATGTTATGTGTGTTATGTCATAATATAGAAACATGCAACTTTTCCGAAATCCTTTCAACCTCGGACATTTAAAAAGTGGTGGACCTTTCTTACATGAATAAACATGTTCATAAGGTAAAAAATGTTCAGCAAAGTTACTAGGGCACCATGTGTAATAGCATGTTTATATGTCCCGGTTTCGTTCGCCCCTGTAATTTATGAGTTCCCATAAAAGCGAGTTTGGGTCGCCTTACTTACGATATGATTTGCATTTTTTTCTTTAGAACACGTGTTGATGGTCGTATTTGCATAGCTGAAAACTTTTTAAATGTATATTTCTGTTCTCTTTTTTTGTTGTTTATTTGCATAATTTTAACGTGTTGGATGTTTCGAACGAGTTTCAGATTTTCTTTTTAATAAAAAAGAGGTTATACAATGCTTTCTCGTTTTACTTTTCTGTATTTTTTTTGTTTTTCTCTAATTGCAGACATATTTTCAGATAATTAATAAAATTATGTTCACAAAATGAAGCCCAATTTGGATAAAATGAAATCGTTTTTTGTCTAAACCTAATTTGAACCTTAAACCCAGTTCGCATCAGCTGTTGTCAAGGAATGAAACAGTAAACTATCTTCAAGTCACGTTGCAGAATGGAACTCTGTACTACGTGTTTTACGTTACAATACAACTGAGCCACAAGAGACGTGATGCATTTCAATAAGACAAATATTTCACATTATTGTTATTACACATTATTCATGTTACATTATGCAGGTAGGTCGCGGAGAACCTAACGGGTAACCGGGGCTCCGGCTCGACGTGCAGGAGAAGGAACGGGGTGGTTTTTAGTCAGTAAGAGTCTGACACTCCCTCCCGCCTCACCCAGGCGGGAGCAGTCATTCGATGATTTCCCCCCCTTAAAAAAAAAAATGCAGGTAGGTACATTATTTTGTATTGTGATGTCTTGTTTAAACTATATCTGTTTTTGAAAACTATGACAACATAGATTCTAATGGGCTTAGTGAAAATACTTTACGGTTATGGAAAATATTACACAAATCATTGCTACATACCCAGAAAAGAAAACAAAGTCCGATATTAAATATTAACACCGAACAGAGAGAAATAAATCACACATATTTCGGTAAACACACGTAATATTTCAGAGTAGCATACTGTTCCACCTGTAATTTCTCTAACAAGGAAATCCAATTATTCCATAGATGAACCCATAAACTACTGGCCAAACCACACACGCATAGGGCTGTCCAATAAAACGTCGGGTGAAGCAAGTACAAGTAGCAACCCTAGCCGTGACGCAGACTTAAGGGCGGGCTCTCATTTATTATTCTTTTTTTATGACGCATAAATTCCACCGCTTGCTGTAATCGGACCATGTCCTTTACAGATCTGCATATTTTTTACGCGGTTCCATTGGTTTAGGTGTGTTATGAGTTGGCGGGAAGTTGGAAAAGAAATCAAGTGAATTCTTAGCCTCATCGTTGGAGTGAACGTGTGTGTTTTTGTCGACTACTGGAAAGTTATCTGTGAATTTGATTTGCACGTGAATAGTTTTTGTCATTATGATTTAGATTCCATCGTTCTCTGATAAGTGTAATATACCTATTAAACTACGATTTCCAACTTTGTTACTAATCGTGGATATTATCGCAAACCGACTTTTCTCGACTGGACTATCACATTGATAGTGCTCTCTTGCATTGATTCATATTTCGTTTGTTTCGGGTCTGGTTGTCATGTGTGTGTGAACTTGTATGTTTGTAAACGCACCCACGACACAGGAGAAAATCCTAGTGTGGGACAACGATTTGAAAAAAAATATTGAAAATGACTCAAGAACCAAACATAAACAGGCATGCAAATCCCAAAGCTATCTAAACATGATCTATATTCAATTTAAATTTTTCTATTCTTTATCAAATTGAAATGGCTGAAGGCGAGTAGTGGAGTACATTCGATTGCATCGTGCGGAGTATAATGTCTGTCTGTGAGAAACTACCGCTGTACGTCTACTAGACAAATCGCTCCCTCAAATGGAAGATTACTGTAAAGCCGGGGTTTTATTACACCGAAGTGTGTGTGTATTGTTATTGTAATGCGTTTGGTGTTGCAATGGGTAGTTGTAATAAATTATAAAGTAAATTATAGTTGGATGGATGGATACGTGACGGCTTTCAAGTTTTTTGATAATCCCTGTTGTAGGTCTTGGGTTACAAGTATTGCAGTGGGTGATATTTAATGAATATTGTTATGCTATTCCTTACACTATTATGTTTAATTGCTTCACGATGCTACGTAACGTGACTTTGGGGTTGCTAATTCGGCGATTTATCAGACGTAGTAAATATTATCACAGTATAGCAAATATTATGTAGTAGTTTGTCATAACAGTGGTACTGGGTTAGTAATGAAAATTAGAGACACATACAAATTGCCTCGTTGGTCGAGTGATCGCAAGTGCGACTGCTGGGCAAGGGGTCTCGGGTTCGATTCCCGGGTCGGGCAAAGTATTACTGGGTTTTTAAAAATCTTAGTAGTAGCACGGAGTCTGGAAATGTGCCCGGTATATGGCAAAAGGCTCACCCCCTATGACATGGAACTCATAACATAAATAGTGAAAAGTGGGTGTTACGTTGTATAGTGGCATTAAGTGCCGTAATGTGCACTTCTGCCTACCCCTTCGGGATTAAAAGGTGTTATGTTACAAACTTTGAGTATCTTCAAAAAACTCACATCTACATTCAATTTAACACAATCAATTACAAAGTTACAATATGGTGTAACAGGCAGTCAAGTTAAGCCTACGTCCTTAGATATCCTACCGCGCTGGGTAAGGCTAGTTTTATTGTTTGTAGTGTTCGTTTTATGAGGAATTCATGAGCAATTTACTTGACACTACCCAGGAAATAAGGTGCCGAATTGTTAATAGAGAGCCCTGACTTTAAAAGTCTTCTAAAGCCATTCAAATTGTACTTGAAGTTTTAACGCCTTGATTTTATTTAGTGAAGTGGATTCCGAATTGATGTTTGTTGGTGCTTTAGCGAGGATTATGAAGTAGATTATTTGAGTTGTATTTCGTCTACATATGAGGCTTATAACCACCGTTTTATGTCAATTTGTTGATACGGGATAGTCATAGAAGCTGTTGTAGTTACTCGACCATTGAGAAAATTATTTAAATGAAAGATTAAAAAACAACACATAATCAAAAATTATTTTATTACTATCAATAGGTTGAGGCCAAACAATAGGTTCGATCCAGTCCAAGAAGCTGGACACTCTGGTGTAGATTCCAGGTAGGTTGGGTAGTGCACAGCCAATGCCGAATGACGTCACACCGACTACATAGTGCATCAAACCTTCCGTCGTAATTGGTATGGGAATTTGCACTTGAAGAGGTCCACCGGAGTCACCCTGTGAAGTAAAGTTATGAGTGCTTGCATATTCCTAGAAGGTTTTTTTTCCAATTTGGTTATGATATGATCAGACAGCTGAGATAATTCCAGAACCCATGACGTTATTAAGTGAATTGATAATCGAAGTCAAAGAGAGAGAGAAAGAGCGAGAGAGTATAAAGTGTCTTAAATATTTTATTCACTAATCACATTCCCGATCGCTTTACCAATAGAGCAGCTTACAGTATTAGTTGAATTCTGATGAAGTTACAATGGTCTCACCTGACAGGCATCGACTCCTCCTTCAAGTTTTCCAGCACAGAGCTGTTCCTTTCTTACTCCACACCAGTTCCTGTTGCATGACGGTCTCAGCAGACGGTCGCAGGTCTCACTGTCTATCAGGTCTACTACTGCTTCTTGCAGCTCAGGAGAGGTCTTTCGGCCATCTGTAGGTAATAGTAATTTTTTAATATCTTCTTAGTTTAGTAGTATTGTATTGAATTAAAAACTGTGTAAGGAAACAAAAAGAAAATCACAAAGGTATTTAATATTCCAGCGGATATTTTTTTTAAATTCGTAAAGGCAGTATTTGAATATAAATTATGGAATCCGTTAATCATTGATTTTTTGCTCTAATTTTAATAGTTTAACCACATATCTTAATAACATGAAGAAAATGGTTTACTGCCAATTCTCTGGTAATGATGCTTTACGGGCTTATTAGATTGAATTGATTTTATGCCTATATATCATTAAAATAATGTCAATTTAACACATTATGTAATGGTATGTAATATAGGCAAATTGGCTTCGTCATTATTTGGTATTGTTACATAATTATTACAAATCTAATTGCAATGCCTTAGGAAAATGGAGAAATGAGTGTCCCATCGAATCGTTTGTACTGATTTGAAAAAATAATAATTGTTGTTTATAATGTAGGTTCCTTCTGTTTCTATGTCACCTAGGGAATTTGAAGCTAGTATAAGGATTTGAAATAAACTTACTAGTTTCCACTACACCCCATCCAGTCAACGTACCCTCTGTTCCAAGAGCAGAAGTATCAAAGTTGTTCCACAAACAAGCTGGTTGTATGAACTTGGTGAAACGTACGTTCTTCTCCAGCTCCACCAGAGCGATGTCATAGTACTTCTTCGGAGGTGAATACTTTGGGTGGACTATTATTTTGAGGATCTTAGCATCTGTTGGTAAAACGCCGTGCGAATACTGAAATGTATGAATTGCCTGTGAATTTATGGAGTCCTGGTACCTGAGCCATACAAATGTACCGAACCAAAAGTTTAATCTCTGACTTGGATATGAATTACAGGATTACTTTATTAAAAAAAAACTCCATTGTTACTAGTATACTAAACAAGTAAAAATATAACGAACCACATCAGCAATATTCTTGTCTCCCAGTCTCACTATCTTAGGCACAGGATCAGCAATAGATGTGTCTCTTATAGAAGCTTGGGAACAATGACCAGCTGTTAGCACAAACTTGGAGCTGATGAGTGAGCTGCCGCATTTGAACACCCAAGTTCCTGTCGCCGCCTTCCATCCTAAGGCGCCCTGGTAGTTTAGATTCAGATTGTTAATAAAATGGCTTGTTGATTGTATGGTAACAAATTAAGCATGGAAATGATTTTTTTTTATTTGAATGTTAAATTTTGGAAATTTTTACTTGTCGGGAAAATTACAAAATCAATGAATGTTTATGTGACAAAGAAGAAAGAAGAATAAACTTTCTTTCTTCTCTAAGAGATTTGGATTTTTCTCTTTTACGAATTAAAAAGATATATTTATCGGAGATTTATTTCTAATAGATAATTATTTTTATAGTAGACCAACTATAAATTACTTACCATATGTGGAAATTCCCCTGGTTCAGTATCGTGTCCTCCTATGGCCTCAACAGCGATAGGTTTATTAGGATCTGAACTTCTTGATAGCTCGAAGGCACCTGATAATAATTTATTTCATTTTAATATAGCATCAATTACGCAGTATAGTTATGTATAAGTACGAAATTTAGTTGTTATTGTAATGTTTACCCATTGTAATAGAAGATAAGCCTATATATAAGCCAAAATTAAAGAAATTATTAAAATCTGATGTCAAATCTAATTGATAATCTCGCGTTTGGTACATACTTAAACACACACGTAATGGCGCCAGTAGTCAAAAAACGGTGGCCGTAGCCAAAACCGGCATGTAGGATTATTAAACACTTCAAATACCACAACACGCGACCTAAGAACTTCGTTTCATTCGAGAAACTCCTAAGCATGCGACCACGAGATCAATGAAACAATATAAATTGAACAAGTTACTAATTGAATTACTAATGAACGATTGTTGTTCACTCGAACGTCTGAATGTTTTAACGATTTCAAGTAACTTGCAATTACCTTCAGACGATTCAGTCTAAGGATTTGAAGAATATTGGTATGACTGAAGTGCTGTATTATACCTTTTTTTATGTCTAAAGTGCAATGCAAAATACAATTCTAATTTTGAAATCCGGTAATTAATTACATTATAGAATTCATAATTCGAATTGCGTTTGGTTCTCATCTCACTGGGCCCACGATGAGTAATAACCTTTCTGTGACGTTTTGCAAATCAAAATTAGAAACGTACTTTGACGACGACAGAGAAGAAAAATACTTACATTTAGCTGCTCTTGTTCGCCTTTCGTGTCTTACTCTTAACTGCCAAATATATTCGTAACATTCTGAAAATAAAAACATTTCCTTAATGAATACAAATGAAACATACATTTTCTCTTTTTAGTACAATTTTTAATTTAATTTAATTGTAGTCTTATCTATGTCACTTATTACTTCCTTATATGACTTATTGCTCATTTATGTCATTCATTACTTACTTTTTTCACTTATTCTTCGCCCTGTTTTGCTGAAATCTGGCATTGGTGGGTCGAACGGTTGACATACATCGTTTTTTGTGATATTTGCAGGCACTGGGTCTGTTACTGGGGCTGAAGTAGTCTGCAAGGAAAAAATATGTCAAATCTTTGGGTGAAAAATATTTGTTTCATGTAATTTCATGTGTGTAAGCAATTGACGCAAATGTAGACTGCACGGTTGGTGCGGTGGCTGGGCATCCAGCTGCCGTGCAACTTGTCGCGGGTTCGATTTCCGCACGGAAAAATTGTGTGATCCACAAATTGTTGTTTGACTTTGACTTTATATTTGTAAACACACTCACGACACAGGAGAAAATCCTAGCGTGGGGCTAAGTTTCTTAAAGAAAAAAAATCTTCAGACGCATCAGTCAGTAAAATTTTGTTACATAATATTAGTACAGAGGATATATTTTATCCTACTTCATATTGTTAACGTTATGCGTTATTCGTGTATTACTTCATTTAGAAAACATTTTAGTTTATCTATACTTACGGTATCGTTTGACGTTGTTTCGTGACCCCAAATCCATCTGTCGTCGTCCTACAGAAAATTAAAATATGGTTAACACAAATACACAAATTGATACTGTTTTAGTATATAAATAAATAAAAGTAACGAAATAATAAATTTTAAAATTCTGTCCGACTAATTTAATAAGCCGGTAAACGAGCTGACTGATCACCTGATGGTAAGCAATCGGCGTCGCTCATGGACACCTGGAACACCAGAGGCGTTACAAGTGCGTTACCGGCCTTTTGTGGATTAGGAGTTTGAGGATCGTTGGGGATTCAGGAATTGGAGAGATTGGGGAAGGGGAGGGTAATTAGGCCTCCGGTAACCTCACTCACACGACGAAACACAACACAAGCATTGCTTCACGTCGGTTTTCTGTGAGGCCGTGGCATCACTCGGTCGAGCCGGCCCATTCGTGCCGAAGCATGGCTCTCCCACACTTAGACATGTTGTACGTACATTTGTACATTTTGTTCAAACATACTTATATTATTAAAAAAAAAACATTGAACCACGACAGGAAGTAAGGATATCATAAGAATTAATTAATACCTCTGTATTATGTATTAGTTTCCACTAAGTACATAGGCACTATGATAAAGTTCAATGACAGTAAAGATGACGTCACAGTACACTACTCTACACTTGGTCCAGGGCAAGCCCCGTCGTCGCACACAACGACATCTCTATGACAATGTTTATTTATTTATGTCAATATCGAGTGTGACGTCACAATTCTGGTTAATTCATTGACTCGATCAATTTCAAGTATTGTAATAATGCGGAAAGGAGGATTTGTGTTGTTATCAACAGTTTTATGAAAAGGTGAGTGGCATGTACTGCCGTGTGGGTTGAGTAACCGCTACCATTATCCAGGACCCGTTCTTCTTCCTTTCTGGGCTTTGATGATGCCCCGGTCAGACTAAGTAGATAGTACATTAGTAGATAGTAGATACTATTGGGTTTTTTCAAAATTTGTTCTTGTAGCATGTAGTTTTTAGATGTAGGATGTACCACAGAACATATAAACCTTCTTTATACCTCTATGTTGTGTGGAATGTATGTACCATGATATACGAGAAGTTTGTTATTGACCTTTCTTATTTAGCAATATCTAAAGATAATATTGTGTACTATCTTTAATTCTTTGAAGGGATAAACAGAGATGTTCATATTAAAAGCAACATATTACGGAAGATTTTTTAAAGTCTTCGTTAGAAATTAAATTAAAAGTCATATAATTTTTAAACAAAAGAAAACTTACGTTTGTCCCGTCACGGAAAATACGATGCCGAAAATGTGCAGGTGATACTGAAAAAACATCAATAAAGTTGTGAGTAGATAAATCAATATATTTATATCTTTAAAAAAATGACAGAAGAAACGAGGATAAGCAGAACGCTAAAAGAAAAAACTATTGTTTCTGTGTTTAAAATCAAAGGTTTGTCAATATTTTATTAAAATGTTATAAATCTTAAAAAAAAGAAAGTCATATACCTGTAATAAATAAACTGAACAACACAATAAAGCTCTTCAAAGTAACATTAAAACTAACACCCATTTTGAAATTATTTTCACAAAATTCACCTTTGAAAACAAAACAAAACACAACACGAAAAATAATTTTGCAAATAATAAATAAAATTTAATACACTTAGAAATCAATACACGTTTGTTTAGCTCTGCTTATGATTGTTAAATAAGCGTCATATTACCCACGGTTTATATTTTAATGTAAAATCATTGTAGTATGAACAATAAATTGTACCTTGAACATGTGAAACAAATCTTCCATTGCCTGATTCATGATTTAGAAAAGGGGATTCGAGGTTTTCTGTTCCACACTTACCTTTCTGAGGGGATTCTGAAGATGGACGTCAGAAATGAACAACGTAACAGGACACAATGTTGATAAAATATAACGTCACCTTTTTTTTGAAACATTGGTTGGGATTTCTTGACTGTTTGTATAATAAATTTTCAGTAATGACATAACTAAAATAAATAAATGCAATGAGACAATATCGAACGTCTGGGCGTGCAAAAAATTAAAATTAAGGGCTGCATATAATTTACGATATATGAATTTTAATATAATTAGATTTAACCGAATTATGAATAAAATCGGAACCATAATATCTTTGGAGTTATATCAAGCAACGAGGTAACCAAATTAAAACATCAAGTTAATAGTTTTATGAAACAATTTATTGTCATGAATCAGGCCAAACAATAGGTTCGATCCAGTCCAAGTAGCTGGACACTCTGGTGTAGATTCCAGGCAAGTTGGGTAGCGCACAGCCAATGCCGAATGACGTCACACCAATCACATAGTGCATGGTGCCTTCCTCAAGTTTGATTGGCAGTTGGACCTGAAGAGGTCCACCAGAGTCACCCTGGAAAAAGAGAGTGAGTCTGTTAGTGCCTGTTACATTGGCAAAAGATTTTTTTTTACTTATCGTGAACTTTCCTAAAATCTTTAATTTTTAAGTTGTCACACCATCCTATAAAGTTCTATCGTAAAACATAATATCACGCCTTTTATCCGCGAAGGGGTAGGCAGAGGTACACATTATATAACTGTACAATGTAACACCCACTTTTCACTATTCATGTTATGAGTCCCATGTAATAGGGGGTGAGTCTATTGCCATATACCGGGCACAATTCCAGACTCCGTGCTACTACTGAGGGTATTTAAAAAAAAAATTAAATCATCCTAAATGTAATTTTTAAAATCTTGTCAATCCAAAAATGGAGAATGAATAGAATAAAGTCTATCGTAATCTAATGCCGCGGAGGACTTAATGGGTCGCCGCGCCGGGGCTCCGAATTGAAGTAGGAACGGGGTGGTTTTTAGTCAGTAAGAGTATGACACTCCCTCCTGTCTCACCCAGGTAGGAGAAGTTCTTCAATGATATCCCCCATTTAAAAAAAATGTTTTTTATTGTCATTAAATTTTGTATCTGATAATACTGTCAGTAGGGATCACAAAACACTTACCTGACAAGCATCCACTCCTCCCATCAGTTTGCCAGCACAGAGCTGATCATCTCTAACTCCACACCAGTTCCTGTTACAAGAAGTCTTCAGCAGCTGGTTGCAGGTCTCACTGTCTATCATGTCTACTACACCGGCTTGCAACTCCTGTGATGTGGTTTTGCCAACTATGAAACAAAGACGTTAAACTAAATGGTTAGATATTATCTAGTCATTACTGATTGGTTTACTGCCTATGTTGTGATGGCCTGGAGGTTAAAGACGCCCGCTTCTCATGCATGAGGGTGCGGGTTCGAAATCTACCAACGGCAAGTACAAAGGAAAACATCGTGAGGAAACCTGGGCTTATAATTTCTAATTATAAGTTTGTAAGCGCCAACCCGCATTGAGCAAGTGTGGTCATTAATGCTCAAAACTTCTCCGTGTGAGCAGAGGCTTTGCTCAGCAGTGAGCATTAATATGATGATGATTACTGCCAGTTAACTGATAATAGTGATCATTTTATTATTTCAAGGTCTATATGCCTTCAAAATTGTAAAGATTGGCATATTACTGACAGCATTAATAATTTTTTACACACGGCCCACCTGATGGTAAGTAATTACCGTGGCCAATGCAATTTACGGAAAATACAATTATTCAAACTCAAACTCAAACTCAAAAGCATTTATTTCAATTAAACCATAATTTGGTACTTTTGAAACGTCAACAAATATGAAATATATAATAGTCTGTCAGTCTGTCCGCCAGTGAAGCTAGGCGCTCGTTCCAAAATGTCGATTCGAGTGGAGAAGAACGAGCAATAAACTCCATTCGTTACTCTTTTAAAAAAAGTCTGTTTTACATTGCTCATTGTATTAAGTTTAATATAATAAAACTTATGCACCCCAGCTGTACAAAAATTTGCTCCTATGCAAAGAGCAATAAAGTAGTTTAGTTGATCCAAAAGAACTACTTCGGTCAAAGCTTTTCATATTTAAGTAATTGTTTCCTTACGTGTTTCAACCACACCCCATCCAGTCACGGTGGCCTTCGGTCCAAGACTTGAAGTATCGAACCTGGTCCACAAACAGGCTGGTTGGATGTATTTACTGAAGAACACATCGTTCTCCAACATCATCAGAGCGACGTCATAGTACTTCTTCGGAGGTGCATACTTCGGGTGGACTATTATACTGATGATCTTGTCACCAGTAATTATAAATCCATTGGAAGACTGAGGAAAAGGAGCAAAAGTTTAACTAAATAACATGATATTTAAAGAACAATTCCATAGCATAATGGATCACATTATGTACGTACAGTATTTTGTTGGACTTATTGGCTTTAAGTTATAAATTCATAAGAAACATAGTTGTGTAACTAGAGAAACTGGTTTTTTTTTTTTAAATATTTGATGGGTTGATGATGATTCGACGTTTGACCACTATCTCGCCTGGTGGTAAACGATGATGCGGTCTATGATGGAGTCTATGATGGAGCACGTCGTCTTATACGCAACCTATATTTACATTACATATGCATTAATTTATAAACATACCGGGTTGTTAATATTCGTGTGTCCTAGTCTTACGATTTTGGGTACAGGATCTGTAATGGTAGTATCTCGGTCGGAAGCTCTAGAACAGTGGGCTGCAGTCAACACGAATCTGGGGCTGATGAGTGAGCCGCCGCATTTGAATATGTATGTACCGCCAAACGCCTGCCATCCTATGGCACCCTGGTAACAAAACATTAACATTATGAACAGTTGCTAGGATTATAGAAAAGAAAATTTGTATGAGTAATGACTATGAGGTTTCAACTGTTAGACTTGTTGAATGAAGTAAAAAATGGTTTATGTGATTAGATACTGTAATATCAAATCATCTTCATTGCCCTTCTACTGAAACATTACTAAATTGACATCATCTGGTTTTACCCAGATCATAGACTGATTCTTGAGGAACGTTTAAGGTATAATTCGTAAAAGTCTGAGAAATGTAGAGCGGAAGGCTAATTTTTACCATGTGTGGGAACTCGCCGAGTTTTGTGTTCTGTCCCCCAATTATACCGACAGGTTTTGATCTGTTAGGATTTATTCTATCCAGTTCTTTTTCACCTGTAAATATAAAATGTATTGAAAAGACTTAACAAGCATTTTAATTTACCCTTTAGTTTATCTCATATAGAGGTCGTTCGACAAGGCCTCGTATTTGGAATATTTGACTAATATCAAGGTGTTACTTTGTAACTTACATTCCTGAGATCTATCACTTCTTTCCTGTCTAGTTTTTAGTTGCCAAACATATTCATCGCATTCTGGAACAAGTAAAGGGACAATTATTGTATAATCTATATAAATAAAAATGAATTTCCATTCGTTAGTCTCGCTCAAACTCGAGAACGGCTGGACCGATTTTGCAATTTTTTTTTGGGGATAGTTTTTTTAAGGGGCAAAATCATCCAATGTCTTCTCCCGCCTAGGTAAGGCGGGAGGGAGTGTCAGACTCTTACTGACTAAAAAACACCCTGTTCCTACACCTGCACTTCGAGCCGGTAACCCGTTAGGTTCTCCGCGGCTTCGTATCGGCATCGGCCCCATCCGTGTTGGTCTGATGGCTCTTTGAGCCAAACGCCTGCCATGTTTGAGCCCTCAGACCACAGCGCGCGGATTGTGACGCCCCGTACGCTCGGGTTTGTGGATAGTCTACGGTAGGCTTAAAAATCGAGAAAACAATGTTTATGGCGATAAAACATTTGTCGGATTACCTAGTAACTAATAAAAAGTAGATGTATATATTATCTTTTTACTACCAGGAACACAGAAATTATAACGGGTGGTAAAGAAGTCCAAATAGTCTTACTTGCTTCACTGATTCTTTTTCCAGGTGCACTGAAGTTGGGTTTCGGGGGACTGTATGGCAAACAGATCTCTGGCAGATTTTCCTCTGTTGTTGTGGGTGGAAAAATTGGAATTTCTGTATCATTGTTCTGGAATATAGATAATATAATCAGATCTTTTTATTTTGCAATTTCTTCTTTTGTAGGTAGTCTTGCGTGTAGCAAGGAATGGAATCTATTAAACGGGTTCAGGCAAATTTTTGTACAGGAACAACTATACAGCAGCCAAATACATTGTATTACCTTTTATCGAATAAAATTCGATAGGTACATATTATTATGTTACCTCATATATTTACGTAGATATTTATTGTACAGAAATTTAAAAAGCAAGGTGATACTTATTTCAGGTACTTACATTTCGTGACGGAACAGTCATATCTACGTATCCCCAAATCCATCTATCGTCTGGCTGAAAAAAGGAAGAAATGTTGTAGAAGCGGATCAAAAGAATAGGGCAGACTAATTTATATTTTAATGTCCTTACGGTAGATTATTTAAAATCATTAAACGTGTATTTTTTATTTTCTTACGGACACAGATACTTTCGACGATATATTGATTTGAAATACTGCGTGACGTCACTTTTGTGTACGTTTTTACGTTAAGTGACGTAGTTAGCTCCCACTCCTAAACTTTAAATCGTTTTATTTATGTATCGTTTCCTTATACGACAAATAAAAAAATCGTGTCAAATAATTTTTCGTTACCTAACTGACGGACTAATTAAATTTTTAATTTTCATACCCTGTCATCGTCCCTATTATGTTTTTAATATATAACTGTATACACGTAGGCAGTTAGGCGCAGTATCTGGTGTTTTGTAAATAATCAAAATACATATACCTACTAATGGATAAATTAGCATCACAAAACTGAACTTTCAAATAGAAATTATACATTTCTACAACAAACCATTGTACTTAAAACAAAAAGGAAACTCCTTGTGTAAAATGTAAAGAGCCACGTGTTCGTATGAACAGATAGATAAGACAATTACTGTACTGTGACGTCACAACTCAGCTCACGACAGAGCACACGTACATAATGTAAATATGTATAAATAATTACGTCTGTGTTTATGTCATAGGAATGGGCTTGTCCCTTATTACGTGGGACTTGTAATTGACAGATAGTGGGTGGGACTACTACATGGGTACTAGTTTCTGGGGAAGAACATTATCGTCATCGTAACGTCTCGCTATAGTACATCTGATATACTGTTGCCATGCACCACTTGGGGTAAGATAGGATGCTATTGCCTGTTTATCATCATTCTCAGTTGTTGTGTTTGACTGCACGGTTGGTGCGGTGGCTGGATCGGCTGCTGACCAACGTGTAGCGGGTTCCAAAATCGCATGGAGCAACTCTTTGTGTGATCCCCAAATTGTTGTTTCGGGTCTTGTTTGTGAACTTATATGTTAATAAACGACAAACAACACAGGAAAAAAATCATAATGAGGGGAAATATTTTATAAATAAACTGTAATTGTGCATTGTGCCAGAGACGGGGTCTCTATAAGTCCCACAATTGGCAGGTGGCTAAGCGTACGTAGTTATGTCACTAAAATAGGAGGAAGATGTCCGTTTTATAGTCATAGCTAGTCTCAGAATGTCGCGGAGAATCTAACGGGTAACCGGGGCTCCGGCTCGACGTGCAGGAGAAGGAACGGGGTGGTTTTTAGTCAGTAAGAGTCTGACACTCCCTCCCGCCTCACCCAGGCGGGAGCAGTCATTCGATGATTTTCCCCCCTTAAAAAAAAAGCTAGTCTCAGAACATACCCGGGATCAAAAAAAAAACTGATAACATTTAGAACAGGAAAATATTGTTCTCTTAAGCGTATGCCTGACGTATGATGTGAGGCAATGCAAAGAAGATGCATGCATCCGAGAATCAGCAGATAAAAAGAAAAATGATTATTGTGGCCCACACTGTAATAAATTATACACATAACATAACAAAACATCACGCCTTTTAACCCCGAAGGGGTAGGCAGAGGTGCAAATTATGCCACTGTACAATGCAAAACCCACTTTTTACTATTTATGTCACGAGCCCCATGTAAGTAACAGGGGGTGAGTCTATTGCCATATACCGGGCATAATAATTCTAGACTCCGTACTACTACTGAGAATTTTTTTTAATCCAGTTATTCTTTGCCCTACACGGGGAATCGAACCCTTGTCGGGCAGTCGTACTTACGACCACTCGGTCGATTAGGCAGTCTATGATTACTAGACAAATAATTTTCATATTATTGCACAATGTTGTAAATTATTTTTTTTATAATCTGTCTTACTAATTATTATGCAATCATTAGGATCTCATATTTCATAAGAGGATGTACAATTGTGCAAGTGTATGTAATTTATATCAGGCATGGATTCTGTATGTTTGATTAGTTTTAGTAGTAGTTAAATGAGTTTTTGTGAATAAGGAATAAGTGTATTCTTTTTCTAATACACACGTCCCACACATTCGATTTGAAAATTATTTTCATTTTGACAGCGTCGTAAATCGTATAATAATACCTAATAATCTATATATATAAAAGAAAGTCGTGTTAGTTACACCACTTATAACTCAAGAACGACAGAATAGATTTGGCTGAAAATTGGTAGGGAGGTAGCTTAGAGCCAGGAGACCGACATAGGATACTTTTTAACCAATACTTTTTTTTACTTTTTACCGAAAATCACGAACGGGGACGGGAAAAAATGGGATTACGCATACGAAGTCGCGGGCAGAAGCTAGTAAATAATAAAATTAATTCATAATTCAAAAATGCAAAATACAAAATACAAAATATGTTTCAAGTAAGTAAAATTGATCTAATAAAGTTAGATGTCTGCACTAGGACAATCCTGTATCGCAGGCGATTACGTATCACGTACTACGTATTACGTACGCAGGTATGACCGTCTATATCCGTAACTTGCAAGTTCAAGGTCTTCGATTCGATCTTTGGGACAGGTAAAATATTACACTCTTCATCACATAAGCATACCACAAGACAACAATTTTGGTCTCCAAGCTAATATGAAAACATTAAGATAAAACGAATCTAATAATCTGAATGTTCACTGGAAACTGTTCCATTACTTACAAAAATTGGTGTATTTTACATAATTATGGAAATATTTGTATACTATGTGTCATAATAATACGGAATTTCCAATAGATACTTACATAAATAAAAATAAAACATAAGGAAATTCAAATCAGAACAACTATTTCGCAAATTGTAACTCTAACTACACATTTCAAGGTTGAATTTACAATGATTCATTATATGTTTGCATCGGTACCTTGGTGGTTAATTATAGGCTAACTTCATCTGCCGTCTGCCAGTGAAAAATGATTCTTGTTTACCGAATGCCGAATCATTTTGATATTATTTATAACGCATAGTTATGTGAAGGTCAACTCAAGGATGTAAAATTCGATTAACTTTGTTTTTTTTTAAATTACATAAAGTGACGCTGTATCTTGTTATAAAATAGGTGAATAAATAACAACTGGCACGGTTGGCGTGGTTACTGACTGGATAGAGTAATACGTCACAGATTCGATTTCCGAACGAAAATATTATTATTATTATATTTCTTTAGACTTGTGTAACTTTGAAATAGATGTTTCGGCATAGGGTGTATAAATTAATGTCAGTAATGATAAGAATATTGTTGAAAACTTACCTCTACATTTGTGTTCAAGTCATTTTGCCGCATAAGTTGAGGTGAAGAAGCTGAAAATAATAATTACTTTATTTTAAATATGACCTGATGTTTATTTGTAAATCTATCCATAGCATTACTTGTTTTATAATATTTAAATTCATTGGTTATTCAAAGATTGAAACCACATAACATAACATCACGCCTTTTATCCCCGAAGGGGTAGGCAGAGGTGTACATTATGCCACTGTACAATGTAACACCCACTTTTCACTATTTATGTTATGAGTAAAATAGATATGGCTAGCGCTATTGGAAACTACTCGATTACTCGACACAAGTGTAAAGAAAGTATAACAAAAAATTAACTGAATACCTGTGATAAACAAACTGAAAATCACAACACAACACTTAAACATCACTTTCTGTTTTTGGCTCATATTTACAGGTTACTAAGGTCCATATTTCACACAAAATCACAAAATTGAAAACAGATAAAAATCTTCTATATTTGTTGTAATATTAATAGACGCGGATACGTTTGTGTTCAACGAATAAACATTAAAGAATACATATATTACGTCACTTTGTGTTTTACTATGAGAAACTTGACTGGCAATGACCGGTGGCGAGGTGGTCATCAAATAATCATAGGCGCAGAAGGTCAACTGAATGATAATTGCTAATAAAGTAATTCTTTAATAAAAAAATCGTTTAAAAAGGCAACTTTAACCCCTTATATTTTGTTAATATACTAAAACCTTTTCCTAAGTAAAATAAACATATATATATATGTCGGAGAAACATTGTCATCGCCGACATCGTCATTAGTGATTGCGGGCTTAGTGGGCGTCATGAGGGTAAAATGCGAGCACAAAACACAACGATCACGATAAACACTATTTTAATTTAGATAGTAACAATAGTTTTATCTGTTTCACAATAACGTAAAAGAAAAGTTAATAATTAGGACTGAGCAGCGGGTTCAGGGCACCAATCTTACAGTAAAATTACATAAACGATCCGCCTAGACCGATGGCTAATTCATGCTCTCCCGCCAAAACTATCTCTCTTTTTATCAGTAAGATGGCGCCTCGACCCCGCTCGAGGCGCGCGCTCTGCTCTGATTGGTCGTTACTTAGGAAGTCAAATTCAAATTATCAATAATTCTAATAAATCAAATTAAGAATTTTAAGTGTGACAAATCAGTTTAAAATAATTTAGGCATTTTAAAAAGTGAATATAAAACAAATAAAAATTAATGTGCGTTATGCAATGCAAGTAACAATTAACTCGCAGCTTCCTCCGACATATATATATATACATACGTCATAAATACTGGTCAATCTGATCTAAGAACACCTTCATTTTTTGAAGTCGGTTAGTTAACAAAAGAGACAGCACATACAATTATGCCATGTTGGAGTCATAAAAATGCACTTTATGTTTTGAGGTATAAAGTGCTATAGCCAAATATTCGATTTATACAATTCAAAATCACGTCATATATTAATTAATGCTGTTTTTAAAAAAATATCATTTCCAGTATTTTTAGTAATAAAGGTCCGAGGGGTCTCTGTTATTCATCGAACATTATAATTGCAGACTTTGTTTTATTTGAGAATATTTAGCCTTTTTTTTAAGGGGGGAAAATCATCGAATGACTGCTCCCGCCTGGGTGAGGCGGGAGGGAGTGTCAGACTACTGACTAAAAACCATCCCGTTCCTTCTCCTGCACTTCGAGCCGGAGCCCCGGTAACCCGTTAGGTTCTTCGCGACTCCGAATCGGCATCAGCCCTGTAGAATATTTAGGCTTAGCCTACCGATCATTCTCATGCATGCTCCACACTCGTGTTTGACTAAAAAAATGTCAAAGTTTGACCTTCTGTATATTGTTTACCGTGTCAATAAGTCTCACGGGAGTGAACCAGCCTTATTTGCGGTGTAGTTATCTCGCGATATGTCTCATTTCACACCTTAATGTCGACCTTTGCTTTTCCTAAGTAATTTTTTATGGGATCATAAATTTCAGTCAGGGGCGACTTAGGGAACTTTTTCACGGAAAATGCGTGTTTATTTGTGTTCATAGATCACTGTGTACCGCGGTTATTTTGTATTGTTTCGCGTTGTTGGTTTAAAAAAGTTTTTAATTTTTTAACTGTTATTGTTTGCGGTTTTGTTTTGTTTTCTTAATTTAGTTATTTGGTTTTTGTTTAGTAAATTTGTAATAGGCGTGTCGACAGGGTAATAAAATCAAAAAAGTAATTAATCCGTCATTAAGATCGCACGAAAATATCAGACACGTATTTTTTGTTTTATCAAATTAACAGAAGAATACGTAGTTATTCCGCATTAAAGTTAGGGAGTGGGGGGTGTTGACGTCACACTTACGGAGAAATCGTACCTAATTGTGACGTCACGCGTCATTTTAACTCAAAATATCTACATGTTTTTTTGGATACGAGAAAAAAGAAAAAATACGTATCGAAGATTTTTAAAATATCTAAAAGACGGACAAAAAATTAAAAAATAGTCGCCATGCCTATTGTAGTATGTTGTATGTATTGTTTTGAGTAGTAGTTGATAGATTTGTGTTGTTTACATGTTTGTATTCAATATATAAACCCAAGGCTAAATCACACTTGACCACAACTAACTTTATTACAAAATTTTTTATAACAAAACATCCCATCATGCCACATAATAATTATCGTCACATTTTGTACTAGGGTACGAGCAAGCGTAATAGTATAGCGGCTTACTCTTGAATCCAATTCCGATCAATCAAAATTGACATTGTGAAATTTCGTACTCTTGAGTTGCAATACTAGCGCCCATTGCATCCGTAATACGTTGATTTTAATGAACTAAATGGTATTGAGTTTGACTTATATTCCATATTCTGAATGCTATTTTAACAGCTGCGATTGGGGTTGTATAGTTTTGACATTGAATAATTATTGAGATTTTATTGGATTGAAATTGCATTGACATTGAGACTGGTTTCACGAGTAAGAACCCATATCATTTTTCCTACGCCTAAAACTATTATTCCATAGTCAGCCATGTTGCTAGTGTACCACAACACCACAAACAGTTTCAATAAAACAAATAAATAAGAAATTTAATCGTGTGTACTACTTTATCTCCTTCCTTTCTGTAGTAAAGATACAGTTCACAGTCTGAATGCAAACCATTTGTTGAGTATTGCAATGGGCGATACAAATTGCTCCATCGAAACCAGATTAGCACAAATCCTCCTCAGAGTAAATGGAATACCGAAGGTTGACGATGCAATAAGAAGTGTACCGATGTTTGTCGAAGGTATCCGAAGCTCTCCGAAGTGAACGTTCTCGAATGTTTTTTTTATTTAAATATCGGTTTCAAGCCTTTTCGCTTCATGAGTGTTAGGAAAAATGAAGAGTTTGTCCTGGTGCAGAGCTGAAGGGCTTTTAAATTGGCTTTTGGTTAGGCAAATGGATGTTTAACTAGTGGTGCTTTTCCAATTGGAGAAATACAATAATTTTACTGTGACGGTACTTTCTTTTTGAATGTCTGTTTTAGAGGACGACAGATTGTGAACTCCTCTATTCTACAGAAATACTTCTGCCTCAGAAAGATGCTTAACTTGTGATGAACTTGTATTAATTTTTATGAAATGAAAATCTTGAAGGATTTTGCAAATATGCATTTGTCGTTTGGGCCTCGAAAGCAGGAGTTTTAGATTCTTGGAAGAGGTATATATTGTAAATAAACATATAAGAAATCATAAATGTATTTGTGCTACGTAAATATTTCACGAATCAAAATCGTGGAGGTATGTTTTAAAACGTAAATAAATAGAAGGGTTACTTTCACAAATTACCTGTCAAATAAAAAAAGGACCCTAATGAACAGAACTTAAGACCCTATTTATAAGCTCAGACTGATCGTCTCTTTATTTAACAAAATAATATCAGCGCCTGTGATAAACGTCACAGCAAAACATCACATAATAGATCCACTCCGGCCGGGTAAGCTGGGCAATTTGTCCGGGTAGCGAGTGAACATTTGTTCGATATCCTATCAAGTCCCCGGTTATATACGGATATAGCTGTAACAAAGAGAGATTACTTACAATTTCTAGTAAGAGCTGGTAATGTCGTGTGATTAAATTGTTCCATTTTTGTTACTAGGAAGGTCTCTTTTATGTGAAAAACCCGAGCATTATTTAAACTTAAGATATAGAGATAAAGGCCAATAAAAGGCAGAATAGAAATATTACTATTTGTCTCTACTCAAATTTTCATACGCTGCCCATTTACTACATCAAATATAACCGCGACTGCCTTGTTGGCCGAGTGGTCGCAAGTGCGAATGCCAAGCAAAGGGTCTCGGGTTCGATTCCCAGGTCGGGCAAATTACTACTGAGTTTAAAAAAAAATCTCAGTAGTAACACGGAGTCTGGAATTGTGCCCGGTATATGGCAATATGCTCACCCTCTATTACATGGGACACATAACATAAATAGTGAAAAGTGGGTATTACATTGTACAGTGGCATAATGTGCACCTCTGCCTACCCCTTCGGGATAAAAGGCGTGATGTTATGTTGTGTTATATAAGAATAAAACTACCCAGCTTTATCGTCTAAATCTGCAAAAAAGAAAGACTGCCTATTGTCTTTTTTAATGTCATTGTGCATACGGGCTGCGAATTATTGCTAACCAAAAACCGATTTGATAATTAGCCATTTCAATTTTCCAAACAAATAAAATATGGAAAAACTACTACTATGCCAATAGAAAATACTTATAAATACTAGGAGCACATAACAACAGCAGAGCAGGTGTGTTCAATTATGGAAAGCACTTGTTGCGCGCCCATGAAACTGAGTGGACCGAGTTAAGTGTGGAACTTGGCTTGTAAAGCCTTCATAATGCAGGCAATGTACCGGAGTTAGTTCTTTGAGAACCTGACGCCCTGGTACCTACGATTTAATCAATGCATTAGAAATCTAAAGTTCCTCGCTTGATTGGGTACTCAATCAAATTTTAAACTTCTTTCATGAAATGAAATGAAATGACGTTAACAATACAATATTCCTTTTTCATCGAATTACCGTCACAGAAAAGCTGAGTGAACCAACATACAATCAACAAAGTGCATAAAGGTGCAAACGGGCTGCAAAGTAATGAGCTCTCCAATTATGACCAATCGGTTATTGGAAACTCACCGAAACCGTATTTCGTGAACAGGGATTCAGGCATCGCGGGATTTAAAATCCCCGGGGATAATCCCGAAGCGAGTGGACGGGGGAAACCTATCCCGCTTATTTCGCATCGCTGTATCTTTCGGTTTCATTCGCAACGATGTTTATTTAGTGATATCACAAGAGTTTGAAAGGGCCTGATTGGGGTTATGTTTGATGTTTCTTTGCGGAATTGATTGCCATATTCAACTGTACATAAAATAGATACTTCGTTTCCATTTTCTAACGTTGTAGACACGTCTTTAAATGCCATTACGTGCTCTTCAGTTTGAGTTAAGTTTATAACTTCGGTTTTA